TCAACCATGTGTGAGATCGTCAGTGCGGAGGTGAAATAAAAAAGGCTGACAACACGGCACATTTGAGCGCGGGGAGTCGAACCCCGGTGTAGTGCACGTGTAGACTGTAATACTGGATATATATCGCGCAATTACGCGTCAGACAGTGGCAGAAAGGGTATCAGGAGGGGGGGTAAAAAACACGATACCACGATTATTCGGACGTGTTGTGCAGAATATTAATAGACTTCGATTCCCTATCCGCACAGAATTCCTTTCAGCTGGAGCCGGATGCATGCACGATAGTTTTCGATTTTCCGCCCCCGTGTTTCCTTTCAAGGCATTCCCGCTTCGGGAACGGCACACCCGGCCAACGAGTATTTCGATCTCCGCCGGGAAAGAGTTGTCACACCGGATTAAGTAAGTGGCAGCGAGTTTGGCAGCGCTCTGCAAAGTTGCTGATTGCAGAAATGAAAAGGAATATCTTGATAGAGCATAGGAGAATTATGGATGAATTTATAATGCTAGATACATGAAGTTGAAATATAACTGGGATACAGCTAGCTACACTATAAAGAGCCTTAGGGGGCGTCAAATAGGGGGTTTGGTGAGATGAGAGAGGGGTAGAAGAACAGGGGCATGAAGCACTCACGATGACTCGCGCTCCGTCGCGTTCATCGTGTGAAATACAGCTGCACATGGACCATGACCGGGCAGTGGCACGCGCCGCCGGGTGCACGGTCAGCAGTGTTAGTGTGGCGGACAGTAGAGAGCGGGAGGTGGTTTCGTTGTGGAACAGATGTGAGAAGGGCTGCAGTGGAGTCAACGACGACAAACACGTCGCGAGGCGCATCGCCGGAAAGGTTGGCCGCATCGACCCAAGAGCTGGCGACACCAGTGGTTCAAGGAGACCGCCGTGGATATGGGTTAACACAGAAGATAGAACATCTCGGCGACGGGAGTGGGGGCGACCGACGAGCTGGCGACGCTGGTGGCATGGTGGGCGGACGAAAGGACGGACGGTGTGACCTGCCAGTGTAACACGTCGGGGTTTGAAACTTTCCTGCCGTGCCGAGCGCGCGCGAATCAAAACTTCCTAATAAGAAGATGCTTAGTCACGAGTACGAGGGCGGAAAGTCAAAGACTATGCACGATCATTTGGCCGTGAAACGTGAAAAAATCGCGAACAATGAATTCGGACGCGAGGAGTCGAACTCCGGTTTACTGCAGCATTAAATACGTACTCTATGAGCGCGCGCAGGCGTGCACCGTGCACCACGTCCGACAAATTCTAACCCGTTCGACGTTGTAGATGTGTGTGAGAAATTGGCTGTGAAAAGCAGACGACGAAATACTCTAGTAGGCAGTGGTGAGTCGTATATATTACTCCACGAAGACGATATGAGCTGACTTTGCACCTCGGATATGCACATAATTTTATTTTTGCGCTGAGAGGGAGCCTGGGAATTGGGAGGAGAAAACCATGTCAGATAGATTCTTGAATCATCGGTTGTTCAAATCCGCCAAAAAGAAAAAGTTCCGCCAAAATGATGAGGAAGACTGGCTGCACGGACAAAAGTCAAGCGACCACGCAATTCACGGGTCTAAATTATTTCCGGCGTGACAATCGTGGCGTTTGTTTGCGCGTGCTTAGCCCATCCAGCCGAGGCGACCCATCACGTGTACAGTCTGCTTTCACCACCAAAACAATGTCAAAACGCCCTCCTCTGGGATGCTGATCAAGCGCGCGCGCGCGACGCTGCCCCCGGGATCCTCTACGCGGATCGCCATGTCGTCGGACGGGGACAAGAGCAAAGGCCTCATCCGCAGCGTACAGCGCATAAGTGGGCTCGACGCGCTCATCATAGTCTCGCGGGGGTGCACGGGGTATGTGTCTCTGTTCTCCTAGCTATATTCAAGTACTAACTCGCGCTGGGCGAGATCCTAAGTTGCCGCTTCGAACCCACTGGTCAAAACATCGCCGCCTGCTCACCTCCCTCACCAAGCCGCCCCTCCTCGACCTGTAGTGGTCGCTCGTCTCGCCGAACCTGTACGCGGTGAGCGTGGACCGCGCGCTGCTGGCGCTCGACATGAAGACGGGGCAGCGCGTGTTCACCGTGCGCGGCCGACCTGAATCCGGGTGGGTGTCAGTCGACGATTGTAGGTGCGTATCTGTCTTGGTCTCTCCCCTACCGCTCGTGTTATACATACGTTCCCCCACTCGTCTTATTTCGCTCCCTTCCCTTCGCAGTCTATCTTCCCTTTCCCTCGTTTCGTTTCTCCCCTGCTAGACTCCTCTCTGTCCCGCCCCACGTCGCCCTCTCTTTCATGCTGGCGCTGCGTCCGTCCGACAACGCACCCCATGTCATACCCCGCTCCTTCGTACTCCTTCCCCATATATTCTTTTAACGCTCCCTCCTTCGCTCCTCCCCCACCCCGACCCACCCCGTCGTCCTCTACCTATCCTCCCTCCGCTTTGCTCCCCTCACCCTAACGCTGACGCCCCCACAGAATACTGAAGGCGTCAAAGACGATGCAGAGCCAAGCGCTCATCCAGGAGGTGATCGCGCCAATCTCGCAGCGCTTTGCGCCCAGGATTCCGGATACTAAGGTGTGTTTCCCGTGTCTTTTCGGTGTGATTTTATGGGGGGTGGTGTAGGGAAGCCCGTTTGGGGGTGTTTTTGGGGCGATTCGGGCGAGCTCGACGTGTCTGGCGCTCGGCGTCGCGCCTGTGCCGTCTGCTGCGTGTTGCGCACATTGCTGCGGCGCTCGGTGTTATGGGGGCCCACGACGCTGCGTGCGACGGGGGCGGCTCCGTATACGCCGACGCGCCCCCGCTCCTGGATTTCTGTGCGCGCCCCGTATGGTACCGCCGTAGGCTGCGTCGATGAGGCGAACGCCGCAGTCGTCGAGGAGACAAGTGTGCGTGCGGCAGGGGAGGGGAAACGTGCGGGTGTGTTCCTTGCGCGCTCCTCCGTGCGACGGCGCGGCGCCGTACCACCCGTGTTTTTGTGGGTTCCCGTTACCGCTGGCCTGAGGTGCGCGTCGTAGCGGCTGGCCCGACGTGGATGTGTGTGCCCTGCACGCCGTAGGCAACGTCGGCCATGCAGACGTCGGCCACGTCCTCAACGCAGACGTTGGGGGTGGGAGGGCGGTAGGCAACATACGCTCCCCTCCGTGGGCCTTTGCCTTGTGTGCTGTGCGGGACTGCGTTGTGCGCTTTCGAGGTGTAGACGCATTGCGCATTTTGAGCCCCAGCCGGTAGTTGCGGACGTGCGTTCTCCGTCGGAGTCGCGGCTGACGTGCATTGAGCGGCGGTCGGGGATGTGCCTGACGTTGTCGACGTACGGATAAGCGACGCTGCCGACGTGGACGACATACGCTCCGCTCCGTGGGCGCGCGCCTTCGCCTTGTGTTGCCCCGAACTTGGTTCGGCGCCTTCAAGCCCTCCGCCGCCGTGGTGCGTCTTCAAGCCCCAGCCGATGCTTGCGGGGGGGGCCGTTATACAGGATTGGATGTCCTTAACTCTCGGATTTCGTCGCCGTCGGATGTTGCCCGGTTCCTCTCGGGAATATTTCCCGTCCTGGTGACGTTAACACAGGAGGGCTCTGCCTGTTTAGATGACGAGAATTGGGACCGGGTTAAGTATGGGCTACGTCGGAAGGAATGGTTCATGGAGGCGCCGGCGCCACCTTCAATAATATGTGTTGGATAGCTCTGTTGCAAATCATCTAAAATCCTATTCTCAATTGATCTCAACCCATTGCTGCGTACTAAATAGGTGGTGAATGATATTTGTATCAATATATTTTTGACCTGCAACTGAAGCTCACCTTCCACTTCCGTACGCTCTTAGCTTGAAAGTCCGAGTTGTCTCCACTGTCCAAGCTCAAGGCTTCATCCAATCCTTCATAACTTCCCATCTCTATGATATCTGGTGGGGGTAAAAGAGAAAAAGACGCTGGAGATTAGGGACAGTCAGTAGGGGTTTCAGAAGTTTCAGAAGGGTTTCACAAAAGCGCTTCAGAGGGTTTCTCGACGATTTTTTTCTGAAGGGTTTCCCAATTTTTTTCTGAGGCGCCTCTGGAGGCGCTTCGACGTTTCAGATGCGCTTCAGATTTATGTGCTTCTCTCACGCTTCAGAAATAAATTATTCGTCGAGAAACCCTTTCGCTGAAACCCTTCTGAAACTCTTACTCTGACTGTCCCTATTGAACCGAATGGCTTCGGGTTAGCAGGCATATATTGCTCCACGAAGACTATATCAGTGTACCTCGTAGTGACGAATATACATCCTTCTTTTCTCGCTGCATGTCTTCGGATAGGCGGCTCTCCCGTGGCTAATGATCATAATCCAGGCAGTGGAAATGAGTTGCACATATTACTCAACGAAGACGATATCACCTCAGCTCATAACCTGAATATACTCGCTGGAGAAACAAAAGCAAAAGCTACGACTTGTCTTGAAGTTCAAACCGCCGGGTGAGTAAGCTATAAAAAACGCAACTTCAGCAAAATGTCTCCAGGTGGGTTCAACCACTGACTCTCCCGGAATGGGTTCAGTGCCTATTAAGCAAGTGGGAGTGAGTTGCCTATATTACTCCACGAAGACGATATCGCTCCATCTTGTAACCTGAATATACTCCGAGGAAAAAAAGCTCGCATGGCCTCAAGCTTTTCGAACAGCTGGTCAATTAAAAGATATCAGCATACCGAGCAATGTCTTCGGGTGGATTTGAACCACCGGCCCTCCCGCAACTACATCTGCGGGGTCCTTAGCAGGTGGGAGTGAGTTACATTACTCTATGAAGACGATATCAACCTAACCTTTACCCAGGATACACCCACCTGTGGCCACAATTCTATTTTATGCCGGGAGGGAAAATTTAAACCGTGTCGCTGCAATGTCCTTGCGGGTGGCTTCAAGCTCGAACCGTGGGACTGAGAGACGAGCTTGAATCCTGAATACTCACTCCATCTCCACCTGCTGGTTGGGTAAAAATTAAAAAAGAATAATACCATGTCTTTGGGTGGATTTGAACCACCGGCTCTCCCGTAACTGCGCCCATATAACAGGTGGGAGCGAGTTGCATTACTCCACAAAGATGATCTGAGCTTATTATGAACCCCATAATTTTATTCTGGACTGAAGAAGAAGGCTTAAAGCGTGCCACTGCAATGTCCAGCCCCTGAAGAGCCGTCTCCAGGAATAATTATAGAAATGGGCGCAAGGCTTCAATGAATACCTTCTCACTCTCGGCCTTTATCTGCCCGTTGGGGCTTTTTGTCAAAAAACCCGTCTCACAGCCGATGTAATGGTGCCTTCGGGTGGCTTCGCACCGGCTCTCCGTTATGGAAAAATGTGGACCGAACAGTTGCCAAAGTATTACTCCACGAAGATATCAGCTTATCTCCTAACCTGAACACCTCTTCTGCTGGTAGGGTGAAAACCAAAAATGGTATGCTAAAACCGAATGTCTTCGGGTGGATTCGAACCACCGGCCCACCCGTGGTTTTAGCATGCTACATCTAGCAGGTATGAGTTGCACTACTCCACGAAGACAATATGAGTTTGCCTTGTGCTTTGGATAATCATACACTGCAATGTTGTCTTGGACCGGGAAGGGGAAAAAGAATCTACTCAATGAGGCATGTCTTCGGGTGAGGTCGAACCACCGACTCTCCCGCTATGGATTCAATAATGCCTATTAAGCAAGTGGGAGTGAGTTGCATATATTATCCCACGAAGACGATATCACCTCATCTTGTAAGCTGAATATACTCCCAGGGAAAAAAGCTTGCATGGCCTCAAGCTTTTCGAACCGCGGGTCGATTAAAAAGGAATCAGCAAACCGAGCAATGTCCGATTCGGCTGGATTCGAACCACTGACCCTCCCGTGCCTCATCCAGCAAGTGAGAGTGAGTTGCAATAATTACCCCACAAAGATAATATCAGTATATCGAGTCGTACCCCGAATGTACTCCCTCCTTTTCTTGCTGGGAGGGAAAAAAGCCGTTAATGTTTCCAACTGTCTTCAAGCTCGAATGGTTTCGATTGGGTTCCAGGTCGAATCTTTTCAGCTGGGGTGCAGCTCGAACTTCCGGAGGGGGAACATAAAAGGAGAAAGATCCCCAACTGATGTCTTTGGGTGGATTCGAACCACCGACTCTCCCGGTATGGAATATGACAGTGTTAGCGAGTGGGAGTGAGTTGCACTACTCCACGAAGACGATATTAGCTTACCTTGTACCCTGAATATACTCCCTCATTTTTTCTCTAGCTGTGGGGGAATAAAGAAAAAAGTCCGCCTGCGGTGGTATGTCTTCGGGTGGATTTGAGCCACCGGCTCTCTCGTGGCTATACGACTCCGGATCTAACAGCAGGTGGGAGTGAGCTGCACATATCACTCCACGAAGTTGACATCAGCTTGCTTTTTACCGCGTCGGAGGCAGCCATAATTTTAAAGTTTTGGGCTGGGAGGAAAAAAAACTTTAACTGTAGTTCCGTATGTCTTCGGGTGGATTCGAACCACCGGCTCTCCCGTGCTTGCGAGTATTATGACCCAAATAACAGGTGGGAGCGAGTTGCATTACTCTAGGAAGACGATATGAGCTTAACCTGTACCTAGGATACACTCACTTGGGGCTCACAATTCTATTTATGCCGGGAGGGAAATTTTAAACTGTGTCGCTGCAATGTCCTTGCGGGTGGCTTCAAGCTCGAGCCGTGGGACTGAGAGACGAGCTTGAATCCTGAATGCTCACCCCATTCCCGCCTCCTGGTCGGATTTTTTATATAAAAAAGACACCAAATGCCACTGCAGTCCACGACATGTCTTTCGGTGGATTCGAACCACCGGCTCTCCCGTGACTGCCAGTATAGTAGCCCACATAACAAGTGGGAGCGAGTTGCATTACTCCACAAAGACAATATCGACTCACCTCGTACCTCGGACACACCACATCAACACCACATCCACAATTTTCTCTTCGGCGGGGAGGAGGGAAAACAAAAGTGGATTCGAGTCGTACATATACTTGAATTCTCAACGCGCAGATAGGAGGACACTGGTAAATACTTCGCATTGGGCCACGCCGACAGTGCACTTATCCAAGCTGCAATAAAGTATTAAGGCCATGTTTGTTTGACCGTGCTTGGCCCATTCGTTTGCCTCATCACGTGTCCACGCTCTGATACCTAGGGCTCTAAGCCGTAGCACCCGTACTACGGTTCGGGTCTTTACGGCCGTTTATGACCTAACCCGACCCGTACCCGTCCCGTAGAGCAACTTTTATGATGGCCTTACGGACGGGTTGAGCCGTAGAACGGGTAACGGGCCGTACCTTCGGGTATTGTCCGGTCAATTTTTAAATACCGAATTCGCCAGCATGGCGAACTCACTCACGGCCTGTGTCACCGTTCTCTAAGCGCTCGTGGACAATAATTTCAATGAAATATTGAATTCAATTATCAGTCAAGCAGTTCTGCTGACAAAAATAGTTCATTTGATTAAGTAGAGGGCTGATCATGAAAACGTCGTAGAGACTATAATGAAATTATGCTGTCCTCCTTCTCTAGAGCCCTGCATGCGGTGCGTAACCTGGCCTTGACAAACATCAGTGTTTGGATGGTCTCCGCCCTCAAACTCGCTCTCCGCAATCCACGGCCTCCCGAAAATACACGTTCGACGGCAACGGCGGAGCCTGTAGATGTAAGTCCGTCACAAAGTTTCAGTTAGAGCCGAAGATCACTCACCTGGGATGCAAAGAACATTGCGCACAAGCCTATAAAGATGCGGGAATCTCTTGCGGCGACTATACCACCATTGGAGTGGATCTGTGTCTTCGTCGTAGGGTTCAGATGACGTGAGACGAAAGTACTCGGTAAGCTCGGTTTTTGCGGAGCCATTAGGAGCAACATTGGTTTTATAACGTGCCAGAAAGTCGAGTTTTTGTGGTGAACCTTCGGAAGTCATTGAAGGTGTAGTTGAAGAAGAGGCTGGGGGAGTTTTGGGTGCGTAGTATATGTCGTAGTGGGTCTCCAAGTCGAATTTGGCTTGCTCCAGCACCTCAAGTGATTCATCATCACCTTCAAAGTCGGATTTGAGCCGGTTGTACAAGATTCCTGGGTCAAGAACTAAAATATGTTAGAAATTAATTTGCAAATGAAAAATGGAACACACGGGAGGCCCAAAGGTAGTAGTGTGATTGGTCAAACTTGGTATAATAGTCGCTTAACTTGAGATGCGCTGCTACAAGCCCAGCACGGAGGGCTGGGTCTGCAGTTATTTGGTGGACCCGTAACCCGTAAACGGATGGGTACGGGTACCAGTCTACGGGTTCACCCGTACCGTAGCTGTCCCGTAGCTGACTGTTAGCGGTATATCTTATCTATCTTATCTCATACATACATTCGTTCATCCCATCATCCCAACCTTCATTCCTTCATACAGTCCTTCATAATTTTACGCGACAGAACACAGCCTCAGTTACTTCTTGCTCCGTAACTGAGGCGTACGTAGATATATTTTCTCTCAATACTTATCTTACTGATTATCCTGTAGACTACGCTAACAGGTACTACATATATTAATAGAGTTACTTCTTGCTCCGTAACTGAGGCACTACGCTAACAGGTTATGGGCCCCGACCGGCATGGCATCAGAACTTGGACTGTCGAGCACAACAGGAAAACACGCTACCCCCCAAGCTAGCTCAAGGGGGAGCGAACTTCGTCTCCTACAAGGAGAAGATGGCCGAGTTTCTGGTTGGCCAACCGGGCTTCCGCAAGCACTTGATGGGTCGTGTAAAGCAGCCTATCAAGCCTGCAGACCTCAAGGATGATGCTACGAAAGCTCAGAAGGAGGTACACGAAGAGGCAGTGGACAAGTACGAGGACGAGATGGACGAGTATTTGCAGAAGCAAGCAGCTATTGCGAGCATACTCACCAACTCTTGGCCCGATGATGTCCACCAGCAATTGCTCGGTGTTCGTCCTGTCCACAAGCTCTGGTGTAAGGCTGCTGCTCCAACCTTACTACATTCCTCTACACCGTCCAACCTCTCCCTTCCAGGATTGGTTCAGCCCTTGCTGTCTGCATCACATTGCCACTGTACTGTGCTATCGCACTGCACTATTGCTGTTCATGCTGTCCTCATTGTATTGCTCCTGTCGATCACCTTCAGCCTTGGTTTAGCACACCAATGCCTCAGTCCTCACTGCTCCTTGCTATTCTGCATTGTATCTTCACCGCTACCATTGATTGATTATCATTGGCCTCGATCTCATTGTCTCTTGACTGATCCTCATTTGACCTTCAGATTTCCTTTTCATTGACTTGCCCATATCCCTCAATGATCACCTATACCAATCTTCGACATCCTACCTTTACATTACTGTTGTTGAGTCCTTATCTTACATTCTGATTTATATCTTATGTTATATTCTATTCCTGTTATGTATCTGTCATCACATTGATTGTGACTCCGTACTATACTGATAGCATCTTCTCTTCTTGGTCTTGACCACCATGTACCTTCGCTAGTGGCTGCTCTTGAATGACCACACTATTGTTCTGTCATTCTTGGCTCCTCTTAGTTCTGTCTGGCCGACCGCTCCAGTGTTGACTGCCTCCACAATACGGCAGCCTTCCACTCTGGTCCGAGCTCTGCGCAATCTTCGAGAACAAGAGCGTCCTCGGTATGGTCGACATTCTAGTTGATCTCCTACGCATCGAGTGCACCGGCGACGAGGACGAAGATGTACTCGCCATCATCGACCGTTTCATCAAGAAACAAAATGAGTACATCAGCGCCGGCGGACAGCTCCCCGACGATGTCTACGCCGCCTTCCTCATCAAGGCTATGCCCTCCACGTATCGCTCCACTATCCTTACCACCGTCACCACAGCTGCGACGATGGGCGCCCCGCTAAATTTTGATATAGTGCGCGCGCAGCTCAAGGAAGCGATCCAGTTCGACGTTGCGCAGGCGAATCGCAAGCGCGAGGAGGCGAAGGCCATGGCAGCAAAATTTGAGCGCCACAAGCAGCAGCAGCAAAGACAGCAGCAGCCGCAGCAGTCGAAAAAGAAGAAATGCGCAAATTGCTCGTATACCGGCCACACCAAAGAGGAGTGCCGGAAACCGGGCGGCGACATGGAGGGCGTCCCGCTTCCGAAGAAGGACAAGGGATCCGCGAAGGGGAAAGGCAAGGCAGCGGCAGCGGAGGAGAAGCCATCCGATGCGAACGAACAACATGCGTACGTCGCTGCAGCCATTCCCGACAGAGCACTTCGCGCATCCGGTGGGAAATCCATCCGTCTTCTCGATACCGGCGCCTTGCAGCACTACGATGGAAACGCGACAAATTTCATCGACATGCAGCCATGCGAGCCGTATTGCATCGAGACAGCATCTGGCATCGAGTACGCCAGACAAATTGGTACAGTCGAGTTCGTATGCCGTGACGGCAACGTCGAGAAGACGTTCACGCTCTCGAACATGTACTATCTCGAGTCCTGCACCACCGGCCTTATCTCCCTCACTCGTCTGCGAAAGCACGGCCTCGTATTCAGCAATGCCGAGGACGGCTATGGTGTACTCACCGAAAAGAAGACGGGAAAGGTAATCCTCCGTGTCGCAGAGCGCGACGGTGTCTACCCGTTGACCACCTGGCGTCCGGAGCGCACCACGGCAACGGCCACACATGCGCATGCGAAATCCGTGCGCAAACCCCTCACACGTGTCGAAGCTCACGAGCGACTCGGCCATATCGCGCACAGCACCATCGAGACGATGGCGCGCAACGGCTCAGCGCTCGGTTTCGAAGTCGATCTTAGCACACCTATCGTTCAATGCGAGGTATGCATTCGAGCTAAAATGAAGGGTCTTCGTATCGCTAAAAAGCGCCGCGACCCACGCTCGAAAAGTACCGGTGACTTCGTGTCTGGAGATCTCTGGGGACCAGCACGAATCACGGCAAGGGGGGGATTTAAATACTACGGCACTTTCCTTGACGACCACTCCGACCTCGCATACATCTATCTCCAGAAAGGGAAGACAGAGAAGGAGACGCTCGGCCACTACCAGGAATGTGAAGCCACGTTGAAGACGCAGCACAACGTCGACATCAAGACATTCGGTAGTGACCGTGGCCGGGAATACACCGGCGGTCTCTTCGACAAGCACCTCGCGTCGAAGGGAACGAAGCGCCAGCTCACGCCCCATGACACGCCCCAGCTTAGCGGCAGCTCAGAGCGCCTAAACGGCACCATCGCAGGGCACATGCGCGCCCTCCTACTCGCGAGCGGGCTCCCCAAATCGTTTTGGGGCCTCGCCGTACTCTACGCTGTCTGGCTATGCAACCGCACGCCAACGAAGAAAACTGCGCCGAAATCGCCGTACGAAGTCATCACAGGCGAAAAACCCAATCTGAGTCGCGCGCGGCGATTCGGGTGCAAGGTCTGGGTGCGTGTGAACGGCGGCTCGAAGCTCGATGAGTGCGGAGTAGAGGCGGTGTGGGTAGGGCCAAGCGTCGAGACCCCCGACGGCCACAAAGTATACTGGCCGAAGAAGGGCACCATCACCATCGAGCGAAACGTTCGCTTCGAGGATGGGTCCGAGTTCAGGGGGGAGACGGGCAAGGAGGATGTTTCTGTGCCGAGCACACAAGAAACGAATGGGAAAACAGCGCAGAATGGAAGCGCACGCACCTCCGAGCCAAATACCACCTCCACCCCACCTCCTCCAGCTTCGCCTGAGCGTCCTACACCGCAGAGGGAGATCCCTGAGCCCTCGGCACGTCCCACAACTCCGCCGGCCGAAACGCTGACTTTCACGGCGGAAGACGTCGCACCCGACGACCCGGACAAAGAAGACACGTCCGAGGCCGCTAGCGACGTGGGGGAGCAGCCTAGCCGTCATGTTCGCA